AAAAAAAAAAAAAAGGAAAGAAAACAAGAAAAAGAAAATAGGGGACAGCCTTCTCAAACAGGAGCCAACCAGGCCCTGAGACTTGCAGGTGGTAGGAGGCTGGCATGGAGAGAGGGGCTCAGCCTCTAGGCTTTGGAACCCACAATCCTTTCTGTCCCTCAGATATAGTAACTGACATCCCACCTATAGGGAAGCTTCCTTTTAGCCTTATTGAGTGTTTGATGGGACTTCCAAGTCCTCTGCCTGGGGTTCCATGCTTTCATCCCTGCAACTATCCCTTGGCATACCTAAAGCCTTCCTGGCCTCAGAGATGCCCCCTAGAATTTCAGGACTCCTGTGGAGAACTGTAACTATAGTCTTTGCTATCTAGAGATATAGTGTCTGGCAGTGCCAATGACTTGGTAGCTCGAGTCTTGGAATCATTTAGTCTGAGTTGCTTTATTTGTGCCATCTCACCTCAGACCCAGCCCAGAACACCTTGTCCATTCCCCATTAACTCCCTCACTCCCCGGACACACTCACCCAGCTTCACCTGGAGCGGGGATGGTTTGTAATTCATGGCTACTGACTCACCCTCCCGGGCATCACAGTCTCCGTCTGAGATGGAGGTGGCGGCTGGGTCCTGAGGGGAGAAAGCAGAGTCATTAGCAAGTGAGTATGGGGGCTGCTCTCAGCCCTGAAACAAGCCATTCCACCTGCCTGCTGGGCTTGAAGGAGCATTTGCCCCTGGCAGCAGGCTGGGCATTCAGGGAGGGAGGGCAGAGCCATCCATCATGGGACAAAGATGCCGATGTGGGCAGAAGAGTAGAGGATCTTGGCCCCACTTACACCCGAATTGAATGTCTGTCTTCAAAGTCCTATATGATCCAGCCTCCTCCAGAAATCCCATCATAATTTCCTTAAAAATATAGAACCTCCTCTCCAATCTCTCATACTAGTTTCCCTTCCTGTATACTTGTTAGGAAAAGTCTTTCTAAATTCTGGATTAATTTTGGAGTAAGTGCTCTTTGAGATGGGCCTTCTCTGTCCATTTTCCCAGTGCCAGACAGGTGCCATCACCACATGATCCAGAGAACCACCTGGCCAAACCAAGGGAGAATTTAAGGCTTCAGCCACTGGAAAAAAAAACATTCTAATGAGGGATTGTCCAGTCCCACATGAATGCTAAAAAATGTCTCCAAGGAGAACCTGAAAGGGTGGCTGGGTATGGTAGAAGACAAATAATGACAAATTAGCAGGTGGCCAATTAGTTTTGTGCTGTTCAGTGAGCAAAATACTTGCTGCTACAGATGATAAGGAAGGTAGGAGGACACACATTCTATGTGTTGTCTAGAATATGCAACCTTTTCAGCCTCCCTTGCCACCCTCCTCTCTACTTCTACCCCTGGGCTGTCCAGAATCCTTATGTAGCCTTGTCTCCCCTCTAAAATACCCAGCTCTCCTACAAGACCTAGGGTGCTGGTGTACCCTACCTCAGTCAGTTGGAAGGGGTTGAAATCATCAATATTTTCCCTGAGAAGAAGATGATCTATCCTTAATATGGGTTGCGTATGTTAAGAATCTTTGAATTGTAACCAGTGGCTGCAGAGTCGCAAGTCTAAGGAATGAGCATTGCAGAAGGATCCAAGGTTTATGCCTGTTCTGCCTTCAGGGATAGAAAGATAGACAGGCAGGTAGAATGCCCCAGAGCTGGTCCCTCAGTGTCACACATCCCCCAAGGATCTGTGTGACTGCTGGGAACTCAGCAAGAGCGGGATATATAACTATTGTGGAGGCTCCATATCTGTAAAGTGTGGCAGTGGGCATGAACTTGCGCTTGTCCCAAAGGGAAAATAAAAAGTCTAGGATGACTGGACAGGAAATCTTAGCCTTGTCTATGTTCCTTCTAGTCTCCTAGACCATAAGACCTTAGGTTTTACAAATGTTTTTTAAATTTCTGGCCTCCCTCCTCTCCTCTGATCTCTACAATTTAGCCATAGTTGAGGAGGAGGGGACAGGAAGCTCTGCTGAGAGGTGAGTACTGCGGTACCTATACCTCAGGCAGCTCCCCATGCTGCAAACCTGACTCATCCTTCACCCTCTCAGGCTTGGCAGCCTCCTTACAGAGAGAACTTGTCACCACCACCATAGAGAAGCAGGCCTCAGGTGGCCATCATGTGCTTCTCTGCTACCAAAATGCCTCTCAAATGCTACCTGAAGGGGAAGTAGAGTACTGAGAGTTGGGATGTGGCTTTACTCTTGGGCCACAGCAAGAGCTCACTCCCAAAACAGCCAGAAGGAGAGCTTTTTTTTTGAGACAGGATCTTGCTATGTAGTTCAGGCTGGCCTTGAACTCACTATGGAGCTCAGGCTGGCCTCAAACTCTCAGCTTTTAAAATCCCTAAGTGTGTTGGTAGGATCCTGCCAAAGAAGCTCTGCTACATTTCCAAGTCACAATCCACTTTTTCTGTAGTACTTGTCACATGCCACATGTACCATATCCACTTGCAAATGGCTTCCTCCCCTGACTTTCAGAATTCTGCTCCTTTCATTCATCTCTTGCTCCTTTGACTATCACTTGTGTTTTTCCAGGGCCTGTTGGCTCCTCAGCCCTCTTTTCTTTCCTTGAGGAACCCTGATGGCTCCTATTAATATTTCTTTTATCTTTTTTTCCCAAACACTAGGGATTGAACTCAGGGTTTCACACAGCCCCTGCTTTCTCTTTTAATTTTGAGTCAGTCTCTCTAAGTTGCCCAAGCCATCTTCAACCTTATGATCTTCCTACCTTAGCTTCCTGAGTAGCTGGGATTATAGGCGTGTGCCACCATACTTGGCTGGCCTATATTTTTATCCTGGTGACTTCTAGATCTGTGGCCTTCTAGTCTTGCAACTCCCCTTTAACCCCATCCATTGCATAAGAGTGTTAGATCTCACTGCATTTTCCCTGGAGCATATATATAGATATAGATGTATTTATTATTATTATTATTATCATTATTATTATTAATGATACTGGGAATTAAACCCAGGGCCTTTCCACTGAGCTGCAACTGCCAGCCATTTAAAATTTTCTACTTTGAGACAAGGTCTCACTAAGTCATAAGTTGCCCAGACTGGGTTCAAGCTCATGGTCCTGATCCTGAAACTTTTGAAGCCAGGATAGAAAGCCCTAGGCTAAGTCCACCTTTCAGCATCTCCTCCATCACTGTTCATGGTAGAAAGTTACCTAAATGGCAAGCACAAAGATCTCTGGCACTATGTCTACAAACTCAAGCTTTTACTGTGGCTTCTTATATGTGTTCCCTGAGAAATGCAGCCAATGCACCATGACCATAACGTGGAGAGATAATCAGGGAGATTAAATGTAAAATATTCATGAGTAGAAGTATCAGAGAGGACTCCAGGCAGAAGGAAGTGTCTGGCTCTCAGAAATCAGGGAGAATTTAAAATGCCCCCCAAGGATATCCAAGAGGCATTAGCTAGATCCAGGAACTAGAGTGGGGATTAACAAGATTATTAATAAACACTCAGCAGAGACAGACATTGAAATGCATCTCCATCAGCAGCCCATGTTTCTGCAACCATTTAAACAAATTCTCCAAAGACTGCAGAGATCATTAATCACCCAGGCTCACTATTTCTGGGGTGGGATATATAGGCTAATGGTCAATGAAAAGCCAGTATAGCTAGAGAAAACAGAAGTGCCTAAAAAATCCTTAATCTGGTGCAGTGATTTTCATTACATTGTATTTATTCCCCGTGCCTTGGGTAGGGCTGAATGTGAGGGGGATAAACAGGAATAGGGGTCTGGCTTCCCTTCAACCAGAGGAGATCCACCTTTATTTCACTTATTTATCAGGCTTTCTGTAAGATTTTGGTTAGAGAAAAGGTTATAATCCATTAATTTGACCCAATTTGGACATTAAAATATTTTTATTGTAGAAATTACTGAAAATACAGAAAACAATATAGTGAGGCCTTAGGCACCTATTATCAACTTCACCAAAAATCACTCTTTTTGAAAATAGGGAAACCTGGACCCACAGGGGAAGTCTAGCCCAAGATCACTGATGGAGTCAAGGACCTTTCAAAGCATAGAAGCAGGGCCATAAGGAAAGAGGTGTGGCTGGGACTCTGAACTAGAGACAGGAACCCTGAGAGGCTGTTGTGCTCCTGCATGCCTACGCATCAGTCTGCATATTCATCCCTAGAGCTGTACTGGCTCCTGAATGGTCTCTAGTTGACTGCCCTTGCTTGTTGAGGCTGGGGGTAGTGCAGTAGATACAAAGGTAGGCTGGATGGGATGATGGATTATCAGGATGGAACTGAGTGGACAAATGGTAAACAAAGGAAAAAAAGTCAGAGTAGAACTCTCAAGGCCCAGGAGTTTTAAGAGGGATGGGCTTGGAGAAGTATCAGAAAGGAATGCTTCCTTTAGTAACCAGTGGAGCCTAACAGTCTGTTCTGGTAGGACTCTGGGTGGGGGAAAAAAAAAAAGACTTGTAGGGTTTCATAGTCTCTAATGCACGCATTCAGATCCATGAGCTCATCTGATTCTCACAAGTACCTAGGAGCCATTGTGATTCCTGCCCAACACTGAGATTCTCCTTCCCTCCACTGGGCAAACCCACATGGCCTAGGTAAATTGATCTCACTCTCAGTGCTAAGGGGATGTCTGACAGAGAAGACAATCCATTGTATAATCCCATCCTTTTTGCTATGCAGACTGAAAGGAAGATGATAATGAATAAAAACAAACTCTAGGGCTTGGGATTTAGCTCAGTGGTTCTGATGGCTGCCTGGCAAGCGCAAGGTCCCGAGTTTGATCCCCAGTACCAAAACAAAACAATAAACAAACAAACACAAACTCTAGATCCAGAGTTCCTAGGTTCATATCCCAGCTTCTCCCCTTATTGGTTGTGTTTTGGGCTTCAGAATTCTCATCTATAAAGTGGAAGTAACATTAATATCTATGTCAAAGGTGTCTGTGAGGATGAGTTAATACATGTTAGGCACTTGGTGCTTAGTATTGTACATATTGACCACTACATCTGCATTAGCTATAGTACTGTTATTGATACAGGTTCAGTGAGATCTACACAGTTTTGGATAGAATACCCTGGGAGTGACTGGGTCCAGCTGCAGTCCTGGTACCACATAGTCTGGGGCCTGGTTTTTATGTGGAAAAGGTGCTCCCTCCACAGGATGAGAAGAGGCCTGACAAGGGCGCATTCTATTTCCTTTCTTGCTTCACTCTGCCATGCTACATTTCCTTCATTTCTCTAATGGTGATAGCCCTGGGTCTCATAAAGATAAGACAAAAAAGCAGGCCCATCTTTAAGGACTTTCCAATAACTATCAATAAAGGTTACACAAACCATAAAAAGATGAGAGAATAGGACAAAAGGAAGATGCTCAGGGGAAATACTGGAGATTACATCAAAATATCAGCTCGCCAGTTTAGGACAGAGGCGGACCATGTACAAAGGCTTGCAAGCTTCAAACTAGCAAAGTACTTTTTAAGGGGCCATCACACTTTTCCTGCAGTTAAATCCTAGAAGGCATTATGAGAATGACAGAAAATTAAGTTAGTAAAGTCAGGACAACTCACATGATGGTGAAAGGTAGGTTTGTTGTTGTCTTCTCAGACGATGATAGAGACCTGGGCATGGTGGCAGACACCTGTAATTTCAGCACTTGAAAGGCTGAGGCAGGAGGATCACCATTAGTTTGAAGCCAACCTGGGATACATAGTGACTTCATAGTAAGACCCGGTCACAAAATAATCCCCAAACAACAACAACAGCTACATCAACAACAAGAAAATAAAATTTCAAACATAGGAGTAACAACAGATTTGGGGTTTTTTGTTGTTGTTTTTTTGTATGGGTGATCAAATTTGGGACCTTACACTTACAAGGCAGGTGGCACCACTGAGCTAAATCCCCAGCCCAACATCAGATTTGAGATAGAGAAACACATATGTAAAAGATGTGTGGGAGGGGAATGAGACTGGAGGTAGAGATAACTAAAAAAGTACTGCAACAGTGACAGCAAAAAATAGCAGGGACCTGAGCCAAGCAAAAACAAAACACAGATAACAGAGTGTGTTAAAGAGGGTAGAATTGGCATACCTTAGAGATAAAATGTAAAAGAAAGCATATAAACACTTTTTGTTTTTTTGTCTGGAGTAACTGGAAAATGAGCACTAATTATTAAGACAGAAAAAGACAGAGAAGAACAGAGTAATTCATTTTGGGATGTTAGGTTTTGAGGTATCTTTTGGACACCCAGATAAAATGATTAGTGAGTAATATTTGAGGTTTGGGAACTCAGGAAAGTGTAGGCTGGTCATGATGGAAGTCACAAAGGAGAATAAACTCTCCCAGTAAGAATGAGCAGAGTGGAAGAGACAAGCAACAAGGGTGGAGCCATGGGGAACATTCAACCTTAGGAAACGAGGAGAAGCAGAGTGGTTAGGAGCAGCAAGTGAGTTTCAGGAATAGAATTAGAAAGCTGTAGTTTCAATGAGGAAGAATCAAGTGTCACGTAGAGCAGATTGATCCATGAGGCAAAGACAAAATTAGAAATAAACAAGTCATGGGCTGGGGATTTAGGTTAGTGGTGCTGCTGCCTGCCTCGCAAGTGCAAGGTCCCGAGTTTGATCCCCGATACCAAACAAAAATAAGTCATATGAAGTGTGATAGAAAAATATAGTGAATGTTTAAATAAAATTTACACTAAAAGATATATTGCCATAAATCCCCATCAAAATACTCCCTCTTGCTTTGAACACACATCCCATCATTCTAGCTACTTTGTGAAGTGGTTCTGGAAGTCCTCGTTCATGAATGCCTTTAGCTGTGTTGTCCTGGCTGCCTTAATGTCCTGAAATAGTTCAAAACATTTTCTTTTCATGGCTATTGTGAAGAAGAGTCAGAATTTGCATGGTTCAATATCTTGTGAATAAGATGGATAAGGATACACCACAGTATTTTTACAAGCTTGCCTTTCCAGTGGTAGCAACATTCACCATATTTTTTTAAATCACACTTTGTAAAGACATTATGAAAGAAGACTTCTGGAACTGCTTCAGAAAGTGGCAAGAATGATGGGATAAGTGTATTAAAGCAAGGGGAAAATTTTTTGAGGGGAGTTGATGGCCATGTGTCCTTAATTGTAATACATTTTAAAATTTTTAATATTTGCCATATATTTTATCACATCCTGTAGGCAGCCTCAGAGAAAACAGTTTTAGTTGAAGAGTAGTAACAGAACCCTGATTACAAGAGATTTTACAGAGAATAGGATATGAAGAAGTAGACACAATGAACACAGGATATTTTTTTCAAGGACCTACACTGAAAAATGAATGGATGACAGCCAAAGTAAGTTTTAGAGTTGTAGGATTTCTTTAGAATCAGGGAACACATGGCCACTATCCAACATTAAGGACAAGGAAGCTGGGTATAGAAGTTTTTTGATGGGGTATAACTTTTTTCAGACTGGGGGTTGAACCCAGAGCCTTGTGCATGCTAGGAAACACTCAACCACTGAGCTACATCCCCACCCCTTTTTATTTTGAGACAGGGTCTTGCTAAGTTGTGCAGGATGGCCTCAACTTGCAATCCTCCTGCCTCATCCTCCCTGAGATCACAGACATGCACCACGGGGTCATGGCCTTTCAGGAGTCAAAAACAAATGGAGCCAGAAACTTGGACCAGAGAAGTACTGGTACTAAATATTGGTACTGGAATGGAAGGGAAGTGAGATGTGTGTGATGCAAATAACATGGAGGCAGAAAGGTGGATAGAAAGTAGAAAAGTAAGAGAGTTCATGCCTTGTTAAATAAAGAAAGCAGATGAACACTAAGGTGTTGGAGAGAAGAGGGACCCTTGGAGGTTAGCCAGAGCGGTAGGAGAGCACACTGGCTGGCTCCAGGCTGCAACCCTCAGCTGTCACCTGCCCACTATCCCGCTACAAGAACGAAAGGTGCTCTCCGCGGTGCTGAATAATCCCATCGGTATCTTGTGGGCTGAACATGGATGATTCAGGGTAGAGACATGGTTCAATTTTAGCTTCCCCACAGGGGGAGTTAACCTTTCCTCACTTCCAAGTGCTAATTCTCAGGAAGATGGAAATTGAAATAGATTTAGAATGAGGTGTGAAAAGACAAACTGCTTGTACAAACATTAACTAAAATTTCTTCCCAAAGTACATATGCATTTTTCTCTAGTTTTAAGGGAAATTGAGAAAGAAAGTTTTGAGTTGGGGAATGCTAAATGGCTGCCTCTGAAATAAAGTCACGTCTGTACCTTGTTTAGTTTTCCTGAGTGAAATCAGGAAGCAAGACAGACAGAAGGAAGTGGGGTCAGGAAGAACAGTGCGGATAAGAAAAGAGAAAACCAAGGGAGATCTGGGGCTCAGGCTCCTCTCTGACAGGTGAGTGCAGCAACACAGGGCTGCAAGGACCAGCTCTGCTCTTGTTGAAATTTGTCCAAATATTAGCTCACAAACTACCTGAGGCAGTGATTTTCCTGTTCAGGGTTATGCCACTCTCCCAAAATATCTCTTGGGAGTGGGTGAAATAATCATGCTTAGATACTATATTTAAGAGGGAAATCCAATGATCTGGGAAGGTAGCTCAGTAGTAGACATTTGCCTAGCATACATGAGGCCCTGGTTCAAACCCGAGGTTGCGGGTGACCTCCAGTTTATTGTGTACCCACAGCTGGGAAAAAACTTACTTCTTGTCTAAGAACATTCAGTAGCAAGCTAGACATCAGTTTTACCATTCCAACTTCCATGAAAATGGCTATCCACTCAGCTTCTGTTGCATTCCCATCTGTCCCTGACACTACGAATCAACATGAGAACAATGTGGCCAATGACAGCTGTTATTCTGCAGTATGCCCTGAAGTCACACTTCAAAACATTGGCCCTATGCTGAGTACCACTGTTGAGTAGTTCCAGCTTTTGTTCCCCTTCTCCATGACTTCTCTGGGAGCTATTTTCAGTTTCAGGCAGTTGACCAGGACTTCTAGCCTTTGGGACATATTAAGATCCCTAGGGGTCCCACTTACAGGGAAGGCCAAAGACTTCTCATGGGGTAAGGTCTTTGGGAGGGAAAGGGGGCAATCAGGGAAACAGAAGGGAGACAATCTCTCCAAATGTTTGTTATTCTTAGAAGGATGAATAGAAAATCTGGAGAGAAAAATTTATGAAGTCTGAATTTGGAGGTAAGGGAGGATCTTGGATTTCTCAGGGAGGCTTTTCTTATCAGTCTAAATTTCCCCAGTATTCTAGTTTTTGGTCCAAGACACAAGCAAGTAAATCAACACACTAAATATCCACTTTTTCCAGCTCTAGACTACATGTTAGTAGTAGAATACAGAGGAAAGCATTCATTACATATACCACTGTGAAGAACAGTTTGGGGTAAAGCAACACACACACACACACACACACACACACACACACACACACACACACCACAGAAGTATTCTCATGCTAAAGCTAGAGTCTGGGAACTCAAACTGGACCAGAGAGGAGCTGAAGATTTTCTGTCTCCTTAAACAAGTAGGATGGAATTCATTACCAAACACAAGAACACCAAGCCTTTATGGTATCTATTATTGGTAGAACCAAAATGGAGGAGTGTACTGCTGATCTAAATTCTAGTAATAACTGCAGATATGACAAGCTTAATACATTTTTCTATTATAAAGTAATTTGTGCTAAAACAATTAAGACTTTAGTTTCACCATCTTGAGAAACATTCCATTGTATGCAGGGCTTTTGTGTATAATACAGTTGGCAACACTCAGATTTTTCTTGTCTGGCAGCTGGTGCAGCTCCTATCCTCATGGTCACAGGATGGGCCTCTAAGAACTATACTGATTCTGTGGTCCCATCCCTTGATATATATGCTGGCCTAGGCTGTCAAACAGTCTCCTCCCAAACTGGGAAGTGTAACTAAGAGTAGATGTCAATGTTAAGCCTGTGGAACTCTGCCCACAAGAAGAGAAGAAAAAATATGATATTCAGAAGAGATGGAAAGTGCTCTCTAGGTTTCAAGCTCTGGTTCTAGAGCCTGTCCTGCCTTTTCAAGGCATGATTCCATGTTGCCCTACTGTAAGACACCATAAGAAACCCTAAGCCAGATGTGGTGGCACTTACCTATAATCCCAGCATTCTGGAAGGCTGAGGCAGGAGGACTGCAAGTTCAAGCCCAGCTCAAGCAAATTAGCAAGACTATCTCAAATTAAAAAATATATAAAGGGCTGGGGATGTAACCCAGTGCAAAGGCCCTACATTCAATTACCAATACCACAGGGGCCAGGGATTTAGCTCAGCGGTTCCAGCACCTGCCTTGCAAGTGCTAGGACCTGAGTTCAATCCCTGGTACCAAAAAACCCCCCAAAATAAAAAACAATTACTAGTACCACAAAAACCAGACAAACAGTAAAAGAGAATAAAAAAGAAAGAAAGAAAAAAGAAACCCTAGTGTCATTATAGTCTATTCTGTTTAGCATAAATGAGCTTCAGTTAGGTTTTTGTTACTGTAACCAGAGAACAACAACTAATACATACACATAGAACATTTAAAGAAAAATATACTGTATCTTCTTTTTTGCAGTTGCAGTGTCACTGAGCTAAATCCCTGGCCCCATACTGTATATGCTATGTTTAAAAAAACTAGTATCAGAACAGAATCA